AACTTGCAGTGAACTTGAATCTGTTTTTAGTTGTTGATTTCGTGGACTATTTTTTGTGACATTGTTCGGTAACAATGTACCATCATCTTGTACAACAAATGTGACAAGTAACTCTTCATCCCTTGCCATACAGTTTATGAGTCAATAAAATTTTTCTAGGACCCATTTTTATTTTTAATTTATTAAATCAATTCTAGAAATGCATGGCCATTTCTAAATTCACCTATTCAACATTCATTAAAATTACTTAATTACTTATCACTATTATGGAATAAAAACATAGTATACATTTTCTGAGAAAAAGTTAATGTATTTTATAATAACATATGGGGAAAGTTAATATAAAGGTCAGGTGAATTCGATGTAAACTTTAAGACACATAAATTCCGGCGAAAATCGATTCCATTTATAATTATTGATTTACTTAACTATACCAATCAATATTTGTATAATTAAGTGCATGAAGGAACGGCCTACTTAAACAATTTAAAACAGACACGTTTAGCACCTAACATTTTGAAAGTTTTAAATTTTATGTTCCCCAGTTAGCACTTTGATTACACTGAGATATCCGAATGAGGGTTTTCGGAGAATTTTTGAAATTGCATACATTGTGATTTTCGAAACGCATAAACCAGCAATGAATGTGACAAAACGCTTGAAATGCTGGATGATCCAAATCACTGTCGTACGAGTCATTTTCCACACTTTCACCACAGCCAGTAGACGTTATCGGTTGCGCAACTGTATATATTATTATCAGTCTACATTTACAACAAAACACGGATCTAATATGTAAAGTATTTTTACAATAAGGTTGATATCTATTTAAATCTTCATTTGTAATAATACGTTTTAATTATTGTCTGGCTTTTCTGATACTTCGGGCTTGGAATCGTTCCCCCCGCATTACCTCTTGTGGAATATTTTGTAATGATGTTGTAATCGTCCATTTCGTTAATGACGAGACGGGCGTGACATCGTCCATTTTTTGTTATTTTTTACTGTTTTTTTGTTTTTGTTAACGTCTACTACAATACGCCGCGCGTGCAAATGTTGGCATGTATGTATGTATGTGTGTATGTAAGTGCTATTTACACACTAACATACATACATACAGTGCTTTATTATTGAGCTATTTATATGTGTAAGCGTATTTAATGCAGGAAAAAAACATTAAAAAAATATTACAATAAAAAAGGGTGTGAGTAATCCAAAAAAGAATATTAAAACAACTCCATTTGATGTCAGTTTTTTTTTACTTTTGTAGTATAATATAATATAATAATTAGTAATTATAATGGTACTACTACTGCTCTACTACTAGTAAACATTATAAATAAAAAATACTACGTCTAAAAACATGATCAGATTCTGCGAGAAGGCTCCGCTCATGGTTTCCTTTTGGTTTCGGAAATCTGCAACAGAATTATTATTTACAAATGACAAGCCAAGCAATAATAAGTTATTTATTTAATCCTAATTTTATTTTCGTTGATAGCATTTAATTGTTTTGCAAACGACTCGATACTCACATACGTAACATGCTTGTGTTTTGGGAACTTTGTTAAAGAACAAGACTTACTAGATTATAACAATTGTTTGACTTACATTTGAAACAGGGCGTGGCAAAAGATGAGGAATTTTCCAAATTAATGTGAAATTAGCGCCTCCTAAGGCATAATAGGCAGTCATGTTAAAACAGCCTAAAAGTACGAATGGCGGATCAGGTGGCTGCGTCAGTTCTTCGCAGGCTGTCATCCCGAAATTAGTCTAAAATAAATAATTTAGGAAAAATATTAGAATCATAAACAGTCAAATGAGATAAATAACAGCTGATTATGAAATTGTATTCTTGATTTTCTTGCATGATGATAGAGAATGATTTATTTTTATTCGCTAATTCTAGTATTTATAGTTATAAAAAGTGTACTAGATAAGCAATTTATCAGTGGTCTTATTTATCATGTAACCAATACTTTTTAATCTTCCCTCACATAACACATTAACAAGCAACCGATTGTGTTTGATGACATTCATTTCCATTTACCCTAGCGCTTATGAATGTAAGTAATGATATTTATTGCATTTGATCATGAATGATACTGTAATTGTTATGAGCTATAAATGTATGTATGCATGCAAATGTGTTATGAGAGTGACTATAAAGATACAGTTATAATATTACATATGTCTGTCTGTGTGTATGTGTAGCTTTTGCAGAGGCCTTTATTATTAAGCATGTGTTGGTAAAACGTAATTGAAGTTTCACTTCAAAACAAAAGTCTATTGCATTTTTTTTTATTTTTATTAATTATACACAGGTCTGCGAAATGTTTTTTAAATTGTTAATATTTGTCGTAATTGTCTTAAAAGTAATAGAAAACAATATTCATATGGTTTATACCACGTCACATTAACCCATAAATGCTCAGAGAACACATTTCCATTTGAACCCTTGCCACGTAATGAGTGCGACGAAAAAACATTCAATAACCAGTGTTTCTATGTTTTTAACGATGCTCGATGGTGTTGCTTAAAAATACCTCCGACAACATTAAAGGATGGAAAGATCGAAAATGAACAAAAAAACGTGATTTATGAATTGACTTTTTTCTTAAAAAGTAATTTTTTGTCCTTACGATTTTTTATATGCTTAAAACCTATATAGATCATGACCTCGATATGTAAACATGAAATAATCACCGTTGGTCAAGTCGAAATGCCTTTACAAGCTGTTTGATCAAACCAAGTTTAATGTAAAGTGGCGGAAGCAATACTTTCTTCTTTCAAACTTGTATTGATGACATTTTTCACTCCGACTTCCAATGGCATTCTAATTTTGACATAGAAATACCAAATAACAATAATTTTGATTTACCATAAGTCCACTGTCTTAACACTTCATCACATAACCGGCATATTTTATCGTAACCCAGTGTTTATCTTGGTGACACAACTTCATTCTGAAGTAAGCTTAATAAGCATTTTTTACAGTTTGTTATATTCAACTTTTGCTTAACTATTGTATATTGTCCGCAAATGTAAATAACTACATTTGAATTGTTTTTACAACTCCAAGAAGTCATGGTTAAAGATAAATAAAACACAATCTTTTATTACACGTTAATATTATATCTCTCTCAATAATGGCGCCCTATAACTATTTGTTTTTCATGTGGTGTAAACGACTATAGTTACTTTCAGACCATCTAAAATAAAGTAAAANGCTAATAAAATCAAGTCGAAATGTATACATTTAATTCACCCCTGTTATTACTGGATTTTCCCAATAGATAGTTATTCCATAACATTATAAATACCATTGTGAATGGTTTTAATTTCAGTAGAATTTCTCTCTTGAGAATGACATGCAAAGGCCTAAACAACATTGTCGAAATAAATAAATACTTTAGTGCAACTAAAACCCAACGTTTTTCTTCTTTCAATTTAATTAAATATTTAAAATGTTGCTCAACGATTGCAAATTCGATTTTGATTTATTAAAATGCTAGTAGGATATTAGGTACTGGATTTTCCCAATAGATAGTTATTCTTAGTACCTGTTTTTAAACTGTCCATAACATTATAAATACCATTGTGAATGGTTTTAATTTCAGTAGAATTTCTCTCTTGAGAATGACATGAAAAGGCCTAAACAACATTATCGAAATAAATAAATACTTTAGTGCAACTAAAACCCAACGTTTTTCTTCTTTCAATTTAATTAANACATATATTAATCTACATACAAAAAAAATGTGACGTGATACGTTAAAACAAAGTTTATATTTGCAAAATATAGACCAACATTTGCATGCTTAAGATAAACATATACAATAAACTTTTTTATCGCAAACCTGTGACTATTCATACAATGTATTGTATATTCATATATCAAAAATACCATTAGACCTAGAACATGAGAAAATACTAAATAACATTACTAACTCTTATTAGTTGCGAGTCCGTTTCGAATAAAATAGTTTGCCGGACAGTGTTTGTAACCCTCCATTGTTGTTATATTATGTAAAAGTGCACGGAGTGCAATTCCAGTTGAATTCATCGGTTTCTCCTTTACATTTAGGACACATATACTTAATTTTAACAGGCATTTCTATAAAATGCGAACAATATAATTAGACAATAGGTAGACGTTGCTGCTCTAGCGTCGACAATAACTGAATGAGTAGTATTAGCTCTGACGGCTATTTGTTATTTGAAATGAGTTTTATTAACCTTATTTAGATCGTATTTAATACGAAATGTTGTACATACATATTTACATAATACTGTACAACCAATACTTTAAAACAATAACATTTCTCTCGACAGAATAAGCTTCATTTTTATTAGTATAGTTTACATTATGTTTACATGAAAAGTATTTACAGTGTAAGTTCACGAGCGATGGGAAATCTTTCATTTCTTCTAAATTGATTATATTTCGGCAATCGGGAAATTCTTCGAGAAACCACAGTTGCTTTTTCGTTCCCGTTACGTATACAGTTTTAGCAATCGCAAAAATTCTTTCGATTTCATCATTATGCAAAGTATTGTAATTTAAATAACCATTATTCCAACCAATACCATGATAATGTTGTTTTACCCATTAGTGTATGGTTTTATATCGTGGCCATATCAGATGATGAGGAAACGGTGGTTTTAGTAGATAGGTTTTTACTTTTTCTTCTTGTAAAGACACGATAGCAATTTCCTTCGCGACAAAGCGAGTTGCCTTCAGTTTCGAAACCTTAAGCGTCTACTATGTAATCCATTATTGGTTATATCTATTGTTGAGTATAGAAAACTTATTATATTTGACTTATCTGTGGCCTCTATGTTTTGTATGTTTAGTCTGCAGTATTAAGAATGCAGCTGCTGATTACTATTTACACAATACAACTTTTAAAAGAACACTTTAAGAAAAATTCAATGCCATTATTCAGACGGATAGCAACGGTTAATTAATTCCCGAATCAATTATGTTTCTCCTCGCTTGTTTTCTGGATCCGCGACAGTGGCTCTAGTCTGGTGGCTGTTTTTGGAAAGCATACATAGAATGCAGCTAACAAGGCCAATCCTGACCGGATCTCGCCCTCGAGGTCCTGTAATTGATTAAAAATCAAATTAAAATTATTGCCTAATGTAATGCTTGAATTTATTATTATTATTATTAATTTTATTTCTTTTTTTTTCTTCGCCTGAAATAGAGCTATCGAAGCGTCAATGTGACACCAAAACTAAAATTCATGCCTTCATCAGCGGCAATGAATAACATGTGCCTACTTTGACATCTGAGTGCCAATGTGACATCAAAACTTAAATATTCTTGCCTTCATCAGCGGCAATGAATAACATGTGCCCACTTTGACATCTGAGTGCCAATGTGACATCAAAACTTAAATATTCTTGCCTTCATCAGCGGCAATGAATAACATGTGCCCACTTTGACATCTGAGTGCCAATGTGACATCAAAACTTAAATATTCTTGCCTTCATCAGCGGCAATGAATAACATGTGCCCACTTTGACATCTGAGTGCCAATGTGACATCAAAACTTAAATATTCTTGCCTTCATCAGCGGCAATGAATAACATGTGCCCACTTTGACATCTGAGTGCCAATGTGACATCAAAACTTAAATATTCTTGCCTTCATCAGCGGCAATGAATAACATGTGCCCACTTTGACATCTGAGTGCCAATGTGACATCAAAACTTAAATATTCTTGCCTTCATCAGCGGCAATGAATAACATGTGCCCACTTTGACATCTGAGTGCCAATGTGACATCAAAACTTAAATATTCTTGCCTTCATCAGCGGCAATGAATAACATGTGCCCACTTTGACATCTGAGTGCCAATGTGACATCAAAACTTAAATATTCTTGCCTTCATCAGCGGCAATGAATAACATGTGCCCACTTTGACATCTGAGTGCCAATGTGACATCAAAACTTAAATATTCTTGCCTTCATCAGCGGCAATGAATAACATGTGCCCACTTTGACATCTGAGTGCCAATGTGACATCAAAACTTAAATATTCTTGCCTTCATCAGCGGCAATGAATAACATGTGCCCACTTTGACATCTGAGTGCCAATGTGACATCAAAACTTAAATATTCTTGCCTTCATCAGCGGCAATGAATAACATGTGCCCACTTTGACATCTGAGTGCCAATGTGACATCAAAACTTAAATATTCTTGCCTTCATCAGCGGCAATGAATAACATGTGCCCACTTTGACATCTGAGTGCCAATGTGACATCAAAACTTAAATATTCTTGCCTTCATCAGCGGCAATGAATAACATGTGCCCACTTTGACATCTGAGTGCCAATGTGACATCAAAACTTAAATATTCTTGCCTTCATCAGCGGCAATGAATAACATGTGCCCACTTTGACATCTGAGTGCCAATGTGACATCAAAACTTAAATATTCTTGCCTTCATCAGCGGCAATGAATAACATGTGCCCACTTTGACATCTGAGTGCCAATGTGACATCAAAACTTAAATATTCTTGCCTTCATCAGCGGCAATGAATAACATGTGCCCACTTTGACATCTGAGTGCCAATGTGACATCAAAACTTAAATATTCTTGCCTTCATCAGCGGCAATGAATAACATGTGCCCACTTTGACATCTGAGTGCCAATGTGACATCAAAACTTAAATATTCTTGCCTTCATCAGCGGCAATGAATAACATGTGCCCACTTTGACATCTGAGTGCCAATGTGACATCAAAACTTAAATATTCTTGCCTTCATCAGCGGCAATGAATAACATGTGCCCACTTTGACATCTGAGTGCCAATGTGACATCAAAACTTAAATATTCTTGCCTTCATCAGCGGCAATGAATAACATGTGCCCACTTTGACATCTGAGTGCCAATGTGACATCAAAACTTAAATATTCTTGCCTTCATCAGCGGCAATGAATAACATGTGCCCACTTTGACATCTGAGTGCCAATGTGACATCAAAACTTAAATATTCTTGCCTTCATCAGCGGCAATGAATAACATGTGCCCACTTTGACATCTGAGTGCCAATGTGACATCAAAACTTAAATATTCTTGCCTTCATCAGCGGCAATGAATAACATGTGCCCACTTTGACATCTGAGTGCCAATGTGACATCAAAACTTAAATATTCTTGCCTTCATCAGCGGCAATGAATAACATGTGCCCACTTTGACATCTGAGTGCCAATGTGACATCAAAACTTAAATATTCTTGCCTTCATCAGCGGCAATGAATAACATGTGCCCACTTTGACATCTGAGTGCCAATGTGACATCAAAACTTAAATATTCTTGCCTTCATCAGCGGCAATGAATAACATGTGCCCACTTTGACATCTGAGTGCCAATGTGACATCAAAACTTAAATATTCTTGCCTTCATCAGCGGCAATGAATAACATGTGCCCACTTTGACATCTGAGTGCCAATGTGACATCAAAACTTAAATATTCTTGCCTTCATCAGCGGCAATGAATAACATGTGCCCACTTTGACATCTGAGTGCCAATGTGACATCAAAACTTAAATATTCTTGCCTTCATCAGCGGCAATGAATAACATGTGCCCACTTTGACATCTGAGTGCCAATGTGACATCAAAACTTAAATATTCTTGCCTTCATCAGCGGCAATGAATAACATGTGCCCACTTTGACATCTGAGTGCCAATGTGACATCAAAACTTAAATATTCTTGCCTTCATCAGCGGCAATGAATAACATGTGCCCACTTTGACATCTGAGTGCCAATGTGACATCAAAACTTAAATATTCTTGCCTTCATCAGCGGCAATGAATAACATGTGCCCACTTTGACATCTGAGTGCCAATGTGACATCAAAACTTAAATATTCTTGCCTTCATCAGCGGCAATGAATAACATGTGCCCACTTTGACATCTGAGTGCCAATGTGACATCAAAACTTAAATATTCTTGCCTTCATCAGCGGCAATGAATAACATGTGCCCACTTTGACATCTGAGTGCCAATGTGACATCAAAACTTAAATATTCTTGCCTTCATCAGCGGCAATGAATAACATGTGCCCACTTTGACATCTGAGTGCCAATGTGACATCAAAACTTAAATATTCTTGCCTTCATCAGCGGCAATGAATAACATGTGCCCACTTTGACATCTGAGTGCCAATGTGACATCAAAACTTAAATATTCTTGCCTTCATCAGCGGCAATGAATAACATGTGCCCACTTTGACATCTGAGTGCCAATGTGACATCAAAACTTAAATATTCTTGCCTTCATCAGCGGCAATGAATAACATGTGCCCACTTTGACATCTGAGTGCCAATGTGACATCAAAACTTAAATATTCTTGCCTTCATCAGCGGCAATGAATAACATGTGCCCACTTTGACATCTGAGTGCCAATGTGACATCAAAACTTAAATATTCTTGCCTTCATCAGCGGCAATGAATAACATGTGCCCACTTTGACATCTGAGTGCCAATGTGACATCAAAACTTAAATATTCTTGCCTTCATCAGCGGCAATGAATAACATGTGCCCACTTTGACATCTGAGTGCCAATGTGACATCAAAACTTAAATATTCTTGCCTTCATCAGCGGCAATGAATAACATGTGCCCACTTTGACATCTGAGTGCCAATGTGACATCAAAACTTAAATATTCTTGCCTTCATCAGCGGCAATGAATAACATGTGCCCACTTTGACATCTGAGTGCCAATGTGACATCAAAACTTAAATATTCTTGCCTTCATCAGCGGCAATGAATAACATGTGCCCACTTTGACATCTGAGTGCCAATGTGACATCAAAACTTAAATATTCTTGCCTTCATCAGCGGCAATGAATAACATGTGCCCACTTTGACATCTGAGTGCCAATGTGACATCAAAACTTAAATATTCTTGCCTTCATCAGCGGCAATGAATAACATGTGCCCACTTTGACATCTGAGTGCCAATGTGACATCAAAACTTAAATATTCTTGCCTTCATCAGCGGCAATGAATAACATGTGCCCACTTTGACATCTGAGTGCCAATGTGACATCAAAACTTAAATATTCTTGCCTTCATCAGCGGCAATGAATAACATGTGCCCACTTTGACATCTGAGTGCCAATGTGACATCAAAACTTAAATATTCTTGCCTTCATCAGCGGCAATGAATAACATGTGCCCACTTTGACATCTGAGTGCCAATGTGACATCAAAACTTAAATATTCTTGCCTTCATCAGCGGCAATGAATAACATGTGCCCACTTTGACATCTGAGTGCCAATGTGACATCAAAACTTAAATATTCTTGCCTTCATCAGCGGCAATGAATAACATGTGCCCACTTTGACATCTGAGTGCCAATGTGACATCAAAACTTAAATATTCTTGCCTTCATCAGCGGCAATGAATAACATGTGCCCACTTTGACATCTGAGTGCCAATGTGACATCAAAACTTAAATATTCTTGCCTTCATCAGCGGCAATGAATAACATGTGCCCACTTTGACATCTGAGTGCCAATGTGACATCAAAACTTAAATATTCTTGCCTTCATCAGCGGCAATGAATAACATGTGCCCACTTTGACATCTGAGTGCCAATGTGACATCAAAACTTAAATATTCTTGCCTTCATCAGCGGCAATGAATAACATGTGCCCACTTTGACATCTGAGTGCCAATGTGACATCAAAACTTAAATATTCTTGCCTTCATCAGCGGCAATGAATAACATGTGCCCACTTTGACATCTGAGTGCCAATGTGACATCAAAACTTAAATATTCTTGCCTTCATCAGCGGCAATGAATAACATGTGCCCACTTTGACATCTGAGTGCCAATGTGACATCAAAACTTAAATATTCTTGCCTTCATCAGCGGCAATGAATAACATGTGCCCACTTTGACATCTGAGTGCCAATGTGACATCAAAACTTAAATATTCTTGCCTTCATCAGCGGCAATGAATAACATGTGCCCACTTTGACATCTGAGTGCCAATGTGACATCAAAACTTAAATATTCTTGCCTTCATCANTTTTTTTTTTGGTATTAGATGCTATTAATAACGAAATTTCAGATCTTTTTTTAGCGACTCTGTATCGCTGTCTCGACAATTTTAGTTTAACCATCACAAAAAAATATTGTTAAGTACCTTATTATTATCACTTACCTGATTTTTTATCGATTTATTGAAGAAAAATTAGTTTCACCTACGAACAAGACAGGCAAGAGGTTTACGTTTAGGACGATTACTGCATACACTTTGGGAAATCCCACAATCAGGTGGTTACCAGACAACGCTATTCGCTAATCAAATTATTAATCGACAGTTAATGGACTTTGGACTATTACAACCTATGCTATAACGTTACCGCTGTTACGATTTGCAAGGGCAAAGCAAATTCTTTGGCGCCGTTTTATAAAACGAATGTAATATAATGGCGTCAGTGATACTAACGCCACATTAAAAAACATACATACAATACATACATATGTACCCACATTTTAGTAGTATGTAATTTATTAATAATTTTATAATACACGCATATATCTGATAATATCTGCTGATATCCATTGGATATCCGATGTATGTCCTATAAAGAAATCTGTACACATGTCCAATGAGGATATACATAGTATGTCCTCCACTAATCCCTTAAGGAAATTGGACATGATGGACGCAATAGGGACGTAATCGTACATCCATAGGATATTGCGTGCTGTATGGGTCTGCACTTCTAATGATTTGTACATCGAGAAAACTAATTTGATTGTTCATTTCTATCTCATGTGTAAATTGGAGATTAGAATTGTACGAATTAAATACATTTAACGTGTGTTCAATTTCAATTTTTCAACAAATGAATTATACTTTACCACTCATCGGAGAGTCTTTTCAGATCCGTTCCCAACATCATTGTCATCGTTTATCAAGGCCTCACACAGTTCTGGGAACCATTCCGTTGTCCACTTTTTAAGGTGTTCTGCCGAAGCAATTGTAGTTGTGTTCCTGAGGAGATCAGAAACGCCCTTTAGGACGTATTTGCCCGGGGACTTTTCGCCGACTACCTCATAGGGTCCCTTGCACGGGGATGATAGTTTATGTCGCTCGTTAGCCGACCGCAGAATAACGACCAAATCTCCGGCCTTAAACTGGGGCATAACGGCTTTGGATGAGCGTTCTTCTTGGTATGCGGCATTTTTCTTGAGGGATTGGGCGGCCTTTTCTCTTGCGATTCTTTTATTTGGAGATATTTCCTTGGTCGCCAGGTCATTTAGGATTGCTGCAACGGCTGGAACAGAACTTTCTCGTCCGATTAATAATTGCAATGGTGTATATTCAGTTGATTTCTGGTATGTGGTGTTTAGTACCAACTGTATTTTACACAATTTGTCGGCCCAATTACTCGTATTAATTCTGCACTCTATTCTTAACATGTCAGCTATTGTTGACATGTACCGTTCTACTTGTCCATTGGATCGGTGTCCGTGAGGTGTTGTCAGATGAAGATTTATTCTCCATTCTTCTAAAAATTTTTTATTGGATTTATTGATAAATGACTCATTGTCACTTATTAATCTTATTGGGGTTCCAAACAAAGAAATGGTTTTTAACAAGTTTTCTTTAAATGTTAACGAAGTTATCTCGACGTTTGGTATTAAAAGGCAGTACTTTGAGAAGGCGTCAATAATAACGAAAACGTACCGAAAATTGTTAGAGGGTTAGGGGACCAAAAAAATCACAATGTAGGGTCTCAAAAGGAGCTTCACCCTTAGGTATTGAGTGCAGAGGTACTCTACTTGAGAGTCGAGGCTGTTTGTTTAACAAGCAAGTTAAACATCCTTTACAATACTTAAAAACAAAATTTCTTAAACCTGGAAACCAAAAACTTCTGGAGACTGATTCAAATGTTTTCTCAGCACCGACGTGACAGTTTTCGTCGTGAAATAACTGCAACAGTGGCAACCGGTAAGATGAAGGAACAAAGAGTCTTTTTACTGTGGAACCATCCGAATTATGAACCACTCTATAAAGATATTCACCTTTTATTTCATACAATTTGTTATCTAGCTCACCTCTTTTTACGCGTTCGATCAGGTCTTTTGTTTGATCGTCAGCAGGTTGCGCGGTGGCAAGCCATGAATTATTTTGATCAAAAACAAAGGCAATTCTCGGCGGATTTCTACTGAAAAAGTCAGCATGAGACAATTTTGACCCCTTTTGGTAACTGATTTCGAAATCGAAATCTTGCATGAAAATCCACCATCGCGCGATACGGGGGTTTAAGTCTTTTTTTACAAAAGTCGCCTTAAGAGCATTACAGTCTGTGACCAGAGTAAATTTGATACCTAATAAATAATGTCTGAAATATTTTAATGCATTGACGACTGCCAGAGTTTCGAGTTCATACGAGTGATACTATGTCTCATAACCTTGGGTCGATCGACTGAAATAAGCGACGGGTTTTAATTTATCAGCATGTTTTTGTAATAGTACTGCGCCATAACCTATTGAACTTGCGTCCGTATGTAATTCTGTTATTAAGTTTGGATCAAATAGCACCAAAATAGGGTACGTTGAGAGCAAAGCAATGAGTTCTAAACGAATTTCTTCTATATCAGGTGTCCACTCAAAAGGGGTTTCTTTTTTTAATAAGTTAGAAATTGGTTTAACTTTTCTCGAATAGTTTTTAATTAATCTGCGGAAATAGCTGGTTAGCCCCAATAGTTGGCGAACTTCTTTAACGTTTGAAGGCGCTGTTGTGTTTAATAATGCCTTTACTTTGTAAGGGCTTGGTTGGACACCTTTGGTAGAAATCAGACGTCCAAGATATTCAATCTCGGTCTGTAAAAATTTGCATTTCTTTAAATTGACTTGAAACCCATTTTGTTGGAGAAGCTGAAGGGTTTGGTGCAAAAGTTTCAAATTTTCTTCTGTTGTTGAAGAAGGGATGAGAACATCGTCAAGGTACACGACTATTTTTCCAGAGGTAAGGAGCGGATGAAGCGCTTGATTTATTGCTCTTTGGTACACAGATGGTGCGTTTGCTAGACCGAAAGGCATTTTTAAATATTCAAACTGAGAGTCAGGCGTAACAAATGCTGTTTTCTCTATTGAATCGTCTTCAGTAGGGATTTGATGGAACCCGTTCGCCATGTCAAGGGAAGTAAAGAACGTATGGCCCTGTAACCTGTCGATTTGATCTTCAATTCTAGGCAAAGGATAACGGTCCTTTATGGTTATGCGGTTTAATGCACGGTAATCAACGCACATTCGATATGTCCCATCTTTTTTTGTGAAGTAAAATAGGGCTCGCATAAGGTGAACAAGAAAGTCGAATGATTCCTTTTCCTAAGAGATCGTCTGTGATTTCGCGAACCTTCTGTTTCTCAAAATAGGATAGGCGATAAAGTCTGTACCTTATGGGGACGTCTGAGGTTAGGCGAATTTTTAACTTAGCGGTAGTGACAGTGGATGTGGCAGTACCGATGGTAAAGATTGCGTGAAAATTTGAAAATAATTGTTTCAAGGAAAAATTGTTCTAAATTAGAAATATTTGTTGTGCAGAGGTGTAGGGCCAAAACTGGTTTATAGGGTTTTGTAAGCTTCATCTCACCAGATGGTTTACGATGTAATGAAATAAAGTCTTTGTCCAGGATGTCGGTGCCGACTAACAATTGTGGGTCTTTCATATTGGTGATAACGTAAAAGTCTGATTCGATAGTAACTTCTGGAAGTTCCGCAATTAGTGTTACCTTTTCGGTAATTTTAATTTCTGAATTTATAGTCCTAGCCGGAATTGAGCAAACACGCGGTTGTATCTGCAACTGTTTAACGAGCTCTTCGCCTATTAGTGATAACTGGGATCCAGTATCTATAGGTACGTCTACAGATATTCCGCGAACAACAGCGGTCATAAAATCAGGGCGATTTGTTGAAGAAAGGATTTTAATGGATTTTTCATTTCGGCCTAAACTACGTTGTTTAGCAAAGCATTTATTTTCAACGTGACCTAATTTGTTACAAAATGAACATGCTTCCCTTTTGTTTATCTTTTTCGGCGGTTTGTTTCTTGGTGAGTCAGCGATAGTGTATTTATTAAAAGTACATTGTGACTTCACGTGTCCACGGCGACCGCAGTCAAAGCATCGCTTATTTGTAATTCGAGGCGCCAGGTCTGGGGAATCCTGATCGGGAATTTTATTGCGGTGATTGTAATTACCGCGCATTAAAATAGGACTTTTCCCTACATCGTCAAATTCGCAAAGTAAAGAAATTAAAGCCGAAACTGACTGTGTTTGGGTTTGCCTTATCTCGTCTTGAGTCCTTTTACACTCAATACCCCTACATATTATACTTATAAGTTCTTGATCGCTAAAATTTTTATTCAACCTGTTCAAAAGTGCCAGTTTTGTTCTAGCATAATTAGCATAAGATAGAAAAGAGTTTGACTTACATTCTGCCGCCTTCTCAAACCTTATACCAAAATCATTAGTCCTTGGAAAAGAACAGCGTAATTCCTCAACAAATGTCGACCATTTCCTGTCCAAAACTTTCCATTGATTGAACCATTCTTGGGCTTCCCCAGTGAGGTAGATAGGGACTCTGTACATTGTTTCATACTCGTCCCATCCGTACAACTCTCGGGCTTTTTCAACATCACGACGGTCCAAGCGACCCTTTCCATCGAGGTTACGTATCGCCGCATCGACTCCAGGACTTCTTCCAAAGCACCAGAATTTGCCGAAGAGTTCGATGCCACTTCGTCGGCTGGGAGAACCCTTTTTATATTCCTCGCATTTCTTTTCATTTTATTTTATTATTATTTTCTTCTTTTATTTTTTTAAACAAGTGGGCGTATCCCACTCCGGATATTATCGAAAAGTTATTTATTATAGTTTTTATTAGCTTTTTAACAGATGTAACTGCACTATTTACACAATACAACTTTTAAAAGAACACTTTAAGAAAAATTCAATAATGCCATTCAGACGGATAGCAACGGTTAATTAATTCCCGAATCAATTATGTTTCTCCTCGCTTGTTTTCTGGATCCGCGACAGTGGCTCTAGTCCGGTGGCTGTTTTTGGAAAGCATACATAGAATGCAGCTAACAATATGTATTTGCGATTACATGTTCCGAGTCCACTGTTCTTTTTTCAACTATTAGTCGTTCATTAAATGTATGCTTGGTATAGTGTTTTTTATTGCTCTCACAATCTAAACTTATAGAAATCCAAATTGATCATCCTCTAATAGTTCTTCCGCCCTTTTTTCCATCCTCCTCTGTACAATTCTAGTTAAGATTTTTGACGCATGGAAAGTTAAGCTAATTGTTCGAAATGTCTCGCACCTATCCGCGCTCCTCTTCTTAGGTGATGTTTTCATAGGTAGCTAAAAATATATAATACTTATAACCAGTTTTTTTATGAAAAATCTAGGTTTGTATTACATATTATACTACTTATGTCATTATTACATTTTAGCAGTAATCTTACCTATGTAAAATAACTAAGCATTGTTGCTTTCTTCTTCGTGGCCTTCATCTGTCGTATTACATCATTTATATATTCTATAAAATTTTCTTTATTTTCTAGTTTCTTTAGCCTTTTGTCAAATTTCGTTGGTATTTATTTTTTTTTTTTGACACAGTTGCGCTGGTAAGCCAGCATAAGAGCCAACAACAGCTAATAATACGAATCTCCCTCTTTTGAGGGCATTGCTGTATGAACACTATGAACTCAGAAAATACTACAAATGGCGCGGTAAACGCCATCTGTAGTACGATACTACATTTAAGGATTACGTATGCTCCAACAAGGTCCACTTGTGTGAATATCTACTTGCTGAAACGAATCCCGGCGTAGCTAACCTCAACGTGATAAGCACGACTATGAACTCACTTTAATAACATCGACAGCAATGTGCTTCTGTATAAACACTAACGAATACTGACAACGAAAACAACATTAAATGGCGTACAATAGAATCGAGGGATTCCCCGTAAAACGTAAACGACTAGGGTTGCCAACTTGGTAGTTTTAATTCCCTAATTCTTTATTTAAAAGAAGATACAATGTTACGTAACGTGTTGTAAAAAAGACCCCCTCCCACCCCTGTAACGCATCGTAACGTTTTACGACCCCCCCCATATTGCTTTACGTAATACTTGAACTTCCCCATATAATGTTTATTATGTACTGTGAAATAATTCTTTTCATTGCATAATATAAATACAATAGTATTAATATACATACCTGTTATTTGAACACTCGTACCGGTTAACCTCAGATAGATAACCATATTTCAGTGTACACTAAGGATAATCATACGTCGCCTCAATGTGCGAATGGTTGCGTGAATATATTTTGGATTATGTATATACTAGGTTTATAAATGTGGTATTGTGTCGTAATGTATGTAATTGTGTTCTGAGTAAATGAATAATATTAGTTTATATTTTTATTAGAAAAAAGATTAAAGAACAAAACAAGGCACTCCTTTACATTACTTAATCTCTCCATCAGTCTTATAATTTACTATGTATGCTTTTTAAAATCAACTCTTTGAAGTCTCTTTAATATAAATAACCTAAGTGAATGTCACTTTTTATTCATTTAGGTCTCACAGACACTTAGGACAGGCGCTGGACTTGTGCTTTCCACAAATGGGATTATTGCAGCTGTCGCACATTGTCTTTATCATCCTTT